GGATAACAGAATATGTAAATAAGTCAACTGAAATTGCTTAAATAACCTTCAAAGTACTGACAAAGCACAATAAATCACTACGAACATAAATCGTACACACCCCCCGGAAAGTTTACTGTATGACTGAATGAATGACTGACTGATTCGTGTGAATTTCCCCCCAGTCATCACAATACTGTGAAGTTTCGAAGAAACTTCACACTAAAAACTGCAAAGTTTGATTGCGAAATGTCGTAAAATACGGAAAATATAGCCCTGTGAAGTTGGCAAATTTGTATACATTTCTATTACGTGCGGAAATTGGTAACTAATTTAGTTACCAATTCACGCACGTAATACAAATTTTCCAACTTTGAAGGGCTATATTTTCCGTATTTTACAACATTTCGCAACCAAACTATGTAATATTACTAATTCCAAGACGCTCTTTCCAGCTGTGGTGATAGATTTCGTTGTTCTTACTGAGATTAAAATTTAGTCTAAAGCGCAAGTCGTCCATTGGATAATTCATGAACGTTGCATTCTACCAAATTTCAAAAATTATGTCGCATTTCCACCATTGTAAACCCATAAAAATTTGGGCTTGTTCACATGAGCCCGAATGGCTTATCGTACGTGAGATGAAGTATATATGACTGTCTTTATATACGCAACACCAGTTAAAGCATAACGTGTCAATCTTTCGTGACTGTCTTTATCCTATCTGATGTCCCGCCTCGGTGGGACGAAATTATTTACGAAAAAATGGCGCCGTGGAAATATATTTTGTTGTGATTGAATAAACTGTACGTTGTATTACGACTTTAATTAATTATGCATGTTGCTAGTTTTCAGATCAACATTCATATATGAGGGCTTGTGATTTTCACAAGTTGTTTACAACATTCGCATTCCGTTTTGAACATGCATGGTAAACATTTCATACCAGTTACGACTGCTATAATGTTTATATCTGTGCAAGATAAAACCATTACCAATGTTCATTAACCGTATATAAAATTAATATAAATAAACTAACCTATCTGCGATGGAATTAACAAAGAGATTGATGAACCAATTTAGGGAAGACTGATACATAGGGTCAATATTTGGTAAATCCGTGATAGAGAAAAACAGGACAGATGCATGGAAAGCAATAGGACGATATCCTAATCTTGATTGGTTGATCTTTTCCTCTGTTTCATCTGCAATCTTGAAAAACACCCAAAATGTTAAGATTAAATATTAAGCATATTTTAATGAAATAATTTATTGCAATAGGCTTCGTGTCGCATCTTTACACACATCTTAATTCTTTTCTTTCTGCTGCACTGATCTCAAATCTTTGACTGGAGCGAGCAACTTTTTGAATTCAGATAATTAATTTTGAAGCCAAAATATTTTTATGAGGAGAGATTTTAAATCTGTCACATTCCTTTACGAATCAAATCGTTACGTGTCTAAAAATAAGTTATACTATCAGGGAAATATCTTCCTCTACGTAACTTAAAGTATATACTAGCTTCCCACTCCTCTTGTAGTGGGTTTTAGATCGTTTCAAACACGAGATAATGAGACTTGAGACGGCCATATTGGCTTAACCTCATTAATTAATTATTCAATGGCAAATTTCAGAAGGAAGAGAGGCTACTATCACCAAATTTCTCTCTGTGCAAAATTTGTTATTCCGACCAATCACCAGAAGCTTTAAGAACCTCTTCTAACATGAATTTTCTCGTGTTGGTGTAATGTACTCAGGTGAATATGATGCTTGTGATGTTAGTCTGAGTGTATATCCACACCGGGCAAGCTTGAAAAATATGCCTGACCACGGTGGGAATCGAACTGAGCTACGTCGGTACGAGTATGTGATATTTCGGAACTGAGTCTATAGTTCCTTCGATATCGATGTAATCTAGTAATCATGAAAACCTGACCGACCTGACCGCGTAGCTCAGTTGGTAGAGCATTGGGCTAGCATTCCAAAGGTCGTAGGTTCGATTCCCAAAGTGGCCAGGCATATTTTTCAAGCTTGCCCGGTGTGGATATACATTCAGAGTAACATCACAAGCTCTTCTAACATGTCAGCAACACGTGAAGATCCAACATCAACGATTATTATTGGCATCGTTTGAACACATGTGCTGGGTAATATTGGCTGATGTTGGATAGTTTTTGACCATGTTTAAAAATTTCCATCCAACATTATCCAACAATGTAGGCTAAACTCGTTTGAATGGGCTTAAGGCGGCAGTGATTACCTGGGTTGAAATAAATTTCGCCGAAAAAAACCCCAGCATTACAATCATTTATGGATCTCATGCTTACGGCAAAATTGTGAACATTACGATTCAACTAACCTTCTGTTTCTTTGAAATCTCGTTCGACAGTACCTGTAAATCAACAAATGTGCACATTAAGTAAATTATTAACTTATACATATTACACACGTGGTTAAGTTCGCGACGCCATTTTGCCAAGGGGAAAACACAATAGAGCAACAATACAACCTAAGGCTAGGGAGAAGTATTCTCATTGGAGTGTAAATTTTTATATGCATTTATTAGACCTACCAGGAGCAGCTGCGAAAAATGCAACTATACGTCTTCTGGCAGGAATTGAATCTGCGGTCCTGCGATTCCGGTGCAGCGCTCTAACCAACTGAGCTACAGAGTCCAGTTATCAAGCTCTAAGCACAAGTTCATGTATATCATATATTATACAGGGTGTATGTAAAAAAACTAAACAGATATGAATTTGCTCTCAATTTCGCAAAACAGCTATTAGTATCCAGTTTTTTTATGTATATTTAACAATTAGTCGCCGAAGGCGAGGTGATTACAAGCCTATATTCACTGAGCAGAAGGCGAAGTGAATATATAGGCTTGTAATCACCGAGCCTGAGGCGACTAATTGTTTTAGTATAAATTTCCAGGTGTTTACAAATAATAATCAACACAACTTTATAAAAATTCAGTTCAAATTTATTATTTTAATTAATAACAATATAAATAGTTTGTTTACATAATTTAAATCTCGGACACGGCTCTGTGTCTCGTTGCGAGGAAGATAGTTTTTTTCTAAATAAAAGCACGTAAAGTTTAATATTTTATCTTGAAATAATTTAAACCATATTTCGTGGCTTGTTTTTTGTTGGGGGTTTTTTTCGGAATGCTATCTTCTTTAATTTGGGCAATTTCCTCTTCTGTTACTACGGCAATACGAGCAGCCATTGTGAAAAAAGCAAAAAGCTATAGTCACTGACCAGTGACTATCACTTCAGAGACAGTGAATCTTGAGCAATCAGAATGCAGGAAATCAATAGTCACCCAGGAATTTATACTAAAGCTTCTTTGGGTACTTATAATGTAGAATAATGAAAAAATATTCTCGAACTCAAATTTGGTGAACCAGGGGGTGTGTCTTTTCCAACAAACTAAAAACGGCTTGCGCACGAAATTTAAAAGTTTTAATCATATTTTGAGTTAATAGACGGAAAATTTGTTGGGTTTTTAATTACTGTGCAAAATTTCAGACAATTTGCTTTAGTTTAAGGTGGCTCCCTACAGTTATAGTCCAGTTTAAAACATTTATATAGCTCAGACGTAATCCTCGCGACTCGCGCGTGGAATCTTCGTGGTCGGGTAAAAATCTTGAAACAAGCCGCGGGAAGTTGTTTTTGTATTTTTATCTACAAAGAAAACGCCAGTTTTTTATTATAATCCTAAACTTTTCAACATTCGAACAGTACGTATTTTGTTAGCTAGTTTTTTATCTACCTTCTGTGTTTTTTTTTTTATATATTTAATACGTTTCAGTACTGTGTCACGGACTGAAAATTATTATATTTTATACTGTCTTCAAGGCACTCCTGAACTATCACTGAAACTTACGTAAATCCTGTCATTCAACTCAGTTCACATGTACTTTTTTATTTGCTGAATCCAATAAAACTACAGGGTGTATCAAAATAAACTGAACAGATTTGAAATTGCTCTCAATTTCGCAAAACACCTATTTGTATCCGGTTTTTTATATATATAGCTTCTTTGGGTACTTATAATGTCAAATAATGAAAAAAAATTCCCGAACTCAAATTTTGTGAACCAGGGGGGGTGTGTCTTTTCCAAGAAATTAAAAATGGCTCGCGCACAAAATTTAAAAGCTGTAATCATATTGTGACTTAATAGATGGAAAATTTGTCGGGTTTTTAATTACTGTACAAAATTTCAGACAATTTGGTTGAGTTTAAGCCCTTTAACTATTCATTTTGTTCTAAAAAATCAGCCTTTCGCATGCTTAATTAATACCTTTACTTAATTTGCATATTGCTGACATATGCAAATTAGGCAAATGCATTAATTAAGCATGCAAATAGCTGATTTTTACTGAAAAATGTAACTTTGCGTAAATAATTAAGGAGCTTAAACTAAACCAAATTGTCTGAAATTTTGTACAGTAATTAAAAACCCGACAAATTTTCCATCTATTAACTCAAAATATGATTTCAGCTTTTAAATTTTGTGCGCGAGTCATTTTTAGTTTGTTGGAAAAGACACACCCCCCTGGTTCACAAAATTTGAGTTCGAGAAATTTTTTTCATTATTCTACATTATAAGTACCCAAAGAAGATATATATACAAAAAACCGGATACAAATAGGTGTTTTGGGACATTGAGAGCAATTTCAAATCTGTTCAGTTTTTTTTTATACACCCTGTATATACTATACACTATATGCATTCGCACAAATACTGCATACATATAGACTATAGTATAGACTCGAGTATACACTATTTATTATATGGACAATGGTGTTTTACTGGAAACTAAAACACTCGTAGAACTCATACGTCACTACATCCGGGACCAGGTGCGCGTATTTTCCGTATTTCACCCCTGCGAGTGACATACGAAGTTCGAAAATTTCCCGCCATTTTCATTGTTGTTGTTTTTGAAAATACAAATGGTCTTTGGTTCGTATTTAAAACGAAATTATAACGTTGGAAATAAAACGAAAACATTTAAAACACATTTTGAGCTACGCGGCCAGGTCGGTTGGCAGAGCATTGGGCTAGTATTCCAAAGGTCGTAGGTTCGATTCCCACCATGGCCAGGCATATTTTTCAAGCTTGTCCGGTGTGGATATACACTCAGAGTAACATCACAAACATCATATTCACCTGAGAAAAAACTCATGAATATTGTTTATCAAGACCTACAGTACCCTGCATAGCCTGAATTCCAAAAGGAGAAGTATGGATCCCCATATTCACATATCCCAACAGGATACTAAAATTTGGTTTTTGATAAACTGTGAATGACTTGTATATAAAATCTGAACCATTAGGATAGTGTTATCATTTCCATATTGAAAACTAGAATATTTCCCAAGGTTCATGTGCATCAAAATAAATCATTCATGATACAACTTCAGTTGGTCCATTTCTAGAACTTTGTTGACTGTTGAGTCTCTGGTTGTTATTGTAGTTTGTAACAATGAAAGACATGTATCTAACTCACAGTACTTACAGAAACTTACTATGCCAAAACATATGGTAACCTGTATCTAGTGTGGGATACTAGAATTTCAGGAGGGATACTAGAACTTTGAATACCGGTACCCAATGTGATACTGAAAACAATCTTAAATTTCAGACCCTGCTGCTCTACAACACTCACAAATATACATGTTAACTGCACTGTAATAGAGCTTCAGATTTGACTGCCGCACCTCACACTGGCTTACTGTAGTACATATTCGATTGGTCAATAGAATATATATCAAATGCATCTCATCATCATCATCAATCAATTTTATTTAAAATCAAAAACACGCTAGCCTCGCACAACTAAAAGCTGATTTACAGGAGGGGCGTGATATATAAAACTGATTGCTTGATGGACGATGGTTCCTTAATGGTAGTGGAAGTCAAATCTCAACCTTTATTATTATTATTAAACCATTATTACTATACTATATATACTGTTGCCAACACTACTGTAGGCAAAGTCTCATGGTAATATTTGGGTCACAAATCCTT